AGCTGGAGTTAAACCACGACAGGTGGGCAGCTAAAACCCATGCTGCCTGCCTGCTGCCAGAGCAGAAGGAAGATGGCACATGTCTGTGGGCTTTGCAGTCACACCTGATGCTGTCAGACATCAGCCAAGGTTCCCCTGGAGCCAAAGTGGTGCAGAAGCAACAGCCGGCCTGGCTGGGAAAGGACACTTCAGCCAATGAAAGGCCACATGAAAAGCTTTTCATATAACTACTCAAAATGCAGCAGCGAGAGACAAGGGCACTTTAAGGGCAGTTCTGGCCATCTTACATTCACACTCAGCTCATACATTGCACAGATAGAAGAGAAAGCGTGTCACACCCTTTGATCTTTGATGCCCTGAACACAGAAGGTAAAAGAGCATCACAGGACTCTGCTCTCCGAGCCAGTGCTGATACTTGTTGTAAGGATCCTGCCAGCCCCGCACTGATGCCCACCAACCAGGGTAGGCAGGAGCCACCCGGGAGCCTCTGTCCACCTGCTGCAGCGGGCAGCAAGGTCGTCCCAGTCCAGGCCCTCCCTCTGCACCGGGAGCCTCAGGCTCTTCTCACTGTAGAACTGGGCGTACCAGCGCCGGCGCTTCCGGATGCTGGAGTCCCCTCTGACCAGCAGCGGCTTGGGCTGACGCTGGTGGTTGTTCAAGATGGTCACATCGCGCTCAAACCGGTGGGAGAAGGACGGTCTCTGGGGCGAAGCTCAACCTGCAGTTTTGTGCAAGCTACCTGCTTTATGCTTCATCATTTCTCCCAGATGACCGGTGTGGGACTGCTCCTGCTATTTGTAACTTGTAGCACACGGCTCTGCAGTTAGCAGACGTTTAGCCCATCGTTTCTCCCAAACAAGAAGCCATTTTCATCTTGGACTGCCTTTGTCATAGGAGATATTAAAAGAAACGGATGCTGTGCAGGTGCAGCTACACCTGAGATTTGTGTGTTTGTTGGGTAGCTCCAGCTACTTTCTAAAAGTTAAGCGCCTGCATCTTAAACTCTGCTCAGACACATGCAGTGAGATTGACGGGTTTCCTCTAAGGAGTCTCTACAGAAATGGGTGCTGCTCACTCACATTGGTAAGGATCCAAAATACTAAGCCAGCTTTTACATCATAGGAGCTAGCACAGCTGAGTTTGATTTGGGGTAGGTTTTTGGCATCTGAAAATCATCTTCTGGTGATTTTTACTGTAGAGCCAATGAAACTCTGTCTGGTCAGAGAAAGTTTTAAAGCTTTAACCCCTGACAGAAGGAGGTGACATGAACTCTTCTGACTGTTTGAGGGCAATTGCTGTATGACGGGGTCACATTTTTCTTGGTAGTGCCAGCTGGTACAACAAGGAGTAACAGCTACAGTTTGCAGGTTGAGAAGTTCAAACTGGCCATTAAAAATAAAAAATAACAATATGGGTAGAGCAGTAATGGAATGGGTCACCAAGGAACTGGAGAGATGGGGGAGTTCTCCAAAGGAGGGAGGCCTTCAAGGCCATACTTGACCTGAATTTGGCAATAGTCTTGCCCCAGCTGGGGTACCGAACTGTAGACCTTCAGAGCAAACTTTCACTCCTTCCACGAATATTTGTGGTCAGGACCTGGGAAGCCTCTGTCAGGAGGGCCAAATCTCATGACAGTTTAACAACAGGAAAATTTCTTGGCACAGCTCTCACCAAAGGAGATAGGATGATCTTAAAGCACCAGCTTGGGATGCTGGAAATCCAGATGCAGTTATTAGTTCCCTCAAAGACCCCCTGCAGCTTGGGAAAGGTTGCCTAATCCTTGTGCCCCAGTTCCCCATCCAGAGGAGAGAGAAAGAGCACGTCTCTGCCACCCTCAGCAGAGAACCCACGGCAGGGACCCTCTTTACTACACCTCCAGATTAGTTCTTTGGGCTGCTAAAAATGAAAGATCCCAAACACGGAAAGGGTCTTGCCCAGCAGTGCTTTGCTCCCACGTATATCTGAGCCCATGTGGGCAACTGCCCTTCCTTCTCGCACCTCCTAGCCACCAAGTTCCCAGGTACCACCTCTGGCTGTTCTTCTACAGAGGCCTTACCTGTATGCACTCTGCTCTCAGGATGAACTTGGGGATTATGGCTGGTATGTTCTTCTGGCAGTAGATTTTATGAAAATCGTTCTGGAGGAGAGGCTCCAGGGAAGTCACCATCTGCAGGACGATCCTGTAACCCAGGAAAGCATGTTCAACGCTCATGAAAACCAGCCCTGGCCCCACCTGCAGAACAACAGGAATAATTGAAACATGAAGCTCAGAAAATTCAGAGTTTATTTTGTGCTCAAAGAACTCTATGCATGTTTACTTCTGCAGCTGCACAGGTTGGGACTCCAGAAAAGTCCTTCCTTTGGCCCTGTAATAATTTTAAATATAAAGCATTTTTGTGTTTGCACTCCTAGACTAGGTTTCACATACTTTTAAACCTTTAAACCCCACCAGCCTGCCCACAGTATATCACTTTTTGAGCAGCTTTCAGTGCTTTATTACTTAAATACACCAGCTTTCCACCAGCTTGGCAAGTAGCACAGGCTGGCCCCAGTACAGACCTGTGTACAGTGGCTTGCACTGAAAAGCACTATCCCAACAATCTCCCAAGTTCTCCCTGTTTCTCACAACTCCTCTTCCTGTTCCCAGAGTTGTATCTCCTGGCCCTCGTCCACCTTAATTTCTCCTATTAATTCTTAATTTATTTCTAACCCGCTCATCTTAGTCGTGATTTAGTCCGCAGACAGGTGCTGCCTTTGAGAGAAATGCGCTGTAGGCTCATTTTTGTCACTGACTTTTACAAATGGAAGCGGGTATATAAAAGTATCCCAAGGTCCAAAATCCCAAGGGGTTGCCCATTTTCAAAACTGCTGCTGCGTCCCAGTGCTCTCCTGGAGGAGTCTCCACCCACGGCTGCCCCCAGCTCCCTGGGAGGCCCATGGCCACTTCAGTTTAGGGCCCTGAAACGGTTCCCCTTTTCTGGACCCATTTATGCAGAAAGGTGACGGAGGAAACAGCCATTTTGTTCTCTGTGGCACATATGAAAGTGTATGATGGTGATTATGAAGATTAACAGCAAAGTAAGCACGTGTTTCCATTTTGCTGATCGATGAGTTGAAAAGCCTGACACTAAGTGCTGCAATTCTTAGAGAATCTTTTTTTAAATTACATCAGTTATAAGTCAAAGCAAATTAACAGTTTCCCTTTAAGTACCCAGAACATCTGCTCTCTACTCAAGAAGCCCACGATCTGCGTTTGGGGAACATATGCCATATTCTCGCTATATGGCGCAGGGGTCTATTTCTAGATCTGAGGTCTGCCGACAGCAGTGGTGGCACGGGGTGCGGGCAGACCTCAGTTAATTGGGAGGGAGATTTAACCCCCAATGAATTAAACTGGGAGATGTCCCTGAACTGGACTACAGGAGAGAACCCCGGCATAGATGTGCCCCACGGAGGGACCAGGCTCCCTACCTGGATGTGTGCATTGGCCACGTGCTCTGTCTGCCCGCGGAACACCCGCTCTCTGGTGGAGATCTCCCACTGCTCACACACAGCCTACGCTGGACCCACCCCCTCGCAGTCGTACCAGACCAGCAGCATCCCATTCACCTTGCAGGATGGCCAGGTCCGGACCCCCGCAAGATCTGGCACTGCAGAGGACAGAAAGGAATCGGTTAAAAGCAGAATCTCCAAGGCTGGCACTAAGGTCACCTTGGCTGGAACCACGGCTCAGAGATCGTCTTTATGGGCAATATTCATGTGGCACAGGCTCTCTGGTGACACTTTTCCAGCTTTCAGGCTGCTGAAGAGGGACAACACCTTCTAAGTTTGCAGAAAAGGGTTTGCTTAAATCAGAGTTACTTCAGTTAGGTGTTTTGTGTTAAGTTTTTAAGGGAGAAGCATGTCTGGCTGCTCTGCAGCCTCTTTTACCACTCTTGAAACTGTTCAAATAAGTAAATGTCTGCTGCATCAATGGACCCTCCTCAGGTTTCAGTGAGCTAGAAGAAGATGCTTTTAGTCATAGATGTGCAGAAAGTAAAAGCCATGCCCACCTCTCAAGTTCGAGTCATTGTCTGTTACAATACTGCATTGTCATGTGTGGCTTTAAGAATATATCTGCACTTTTTCCAGTGCATGTTGGTATTTATATTTTCCCAGTTGTCAGAAAATATAGCTGCTACCAGATTGGAAGACTTTTGCCTTCATTGCTTTTTTTTCTAATTTGAGCAAGCACAGAGGATGGCACTTCCTTATTACTCAGCCTTGTACAGTCTCGTGGGAGGTGAAATAATATGACGAATTATGTTTCTCTTTTAGTCAATGAATATCAGAGGGAGCAAGAGACCATCACCTGATTTCTGACTGAAAAGATCTGGCGCTTTGGGCAGGATGCATCTCATTAATTTTTAAAGAAGGCTTCATCTGCCCCATGCAGGCACAGAATTATAATCGTTTTGGTTGGAAAAGACCTCTAAGATCATCAAGTCCAACTGTTAACCCAACGCTGCCAAGTCCACCCTAAACCATATCCCTAAGCACCACTTCTACACATCTAGAATACCTCTAGGGATGGTGACTCCAACACCAGTCCCTGACAGCCCTTTCCACGAACAAATTTTCCCTAATATCCAATCTAAACCTTCTCTGGCACAACTTGAGGCTGTTTGCTCTTGTCCTGTCACTTGGGAGAAGAGACCAACCCCCCCCCTCTCTGCACCCTCCTTTCAGGGAGCTGTAGGGAGCGATCAGGTCTCCCCTCAGCCTCCTCTTCTCCAGGCTGAACACCCCCAGCTCCCTCAGCTGCTCCTCACAGGACTTGTGCTCCAGACCCTTCCTGCAGCTTCATGCAGCACCACTCTGGGGCTCCAGCCCCTTCCCCAGCTTCATGCAGCACCACTCTGGGCTCTGTGGTTTTGCTTGGCTGTCAGTCCCCTGCAAGCCCAGAGCTGGAGGAGCTGCCCACCCAAGCTCTCCAAAATCCCTCTCTGACAGAGTGACCTGCATGAGCACAGATGGCTTTTAAATCTGCATAAATCAACCTGACCCATTTGGGCTCTATGGGAACAGGGTGGCTGGCTGCAGTTTCATTCTTATAATAACTGCAGGTAACAATGACTCTGAATACAGCCGTTTTGGATAAAACAATGCATCTTGGCAAGCATTTGTGTGCATCCAGAATATTCCTTCTCATCTTGTGATGAAACACATCATGGCTCATCATTTGTAACCAAATTTTCATTTGAATGCAGCTCCTGACTATGTATGGGGGAAAAAAAAATACAGTATTAATCTTTCTTCTGAAAATAACATACACACACACCAAAAAAAAAAAAAAAAAGGAATTGCTGTTTGTTTGGTGAGATCTGTAATTTATCTCATCCCATATAGATGGAATGTTTCTTTCACTTTGGGAAAAATAATCTGTTTAGTAGAAAGACTGACTTTTGCTTCTAATCAATATTTTCATTGCTCTCCAAATTAGAAAAAGCTGAATGTCTCAGGAAAATAACTGAGAAGCACAAGCCAAAGCAAAGCTCAAGGTAAGTCTGCAAGTTTCAGCCACATTTAGAACTGGTGATTCAAACGAAGTGCAGCCAGATCAAGTAGCTGTTACATACGAACTTTAAGTAAGAGCCTCTTCCTACACAGTCAGTGCAAACCACATCTCAACTGTAGGTGTATGTGAAGAGCTTTCCTGGATTCTAACCAAAAGTTCCCTTCAAGCCTTAAAAGGAGAAAAAAATTGCCACTGAGACACTATTCTGTCAGGCTAATGCGACAGATTTGAGCACTGACGTGGTACAAGCTATCACTGTAGAGCACAGAATAATTTCTGAAACCCAACAGCTCCTCAGCTCCTTCCAGGATCCATCCCTGCGGGTGCAATGGGTGACTCAGAGTGCAAAATCTTCCTTTGCACTCCGCTTGCTGAATGCAGCAGTTGTAGGACTATCAAAATCACGAAGGGTGGTTATTTCACTAAAGTCCCAGTTATCATGCAAAGCAGCAAAGGGCACTGCCCCAACATGCACAACCCAGGAGGGAAATTAGGGTTCTGCATGAAACAGGGGAGCAGGATGGAGGGTGAGTTATTATAAAGAACACTTTTCCTTAATGAAGTAGCTTTTAATGAGGACACAGAGGGCACTACCGTTTCTGCGGATGCTTTCTGTGGGTTTAGGGGATGCTCACCTTTTTCAGCATACGGGATGCGAGTGCTTTTTCCGTCTTGTCCTCAAAACTGCCAGCCGCGAAGCGGGCATTCAACGCAGTTGCCCATGACTCGCCCACCGGTGGGCAGGTAAGCCCCGAGGTGAGGGCAGTACGCGTCCACCACGTAGGCTTGGCCGTCCCAGGTGCGAAACGTGGCGAGCTGTTCCCCTGAAGAAAGACAAACCAACATCCCCATAGGACGGGGTGTCGGGCAGAACACACATTGCTTGGCCCCTTCTGAAGTGGCAGCACCGACCGGTGCTGTCATCCAACGTTGCAGGCATCTGTCTGTGCAAAGAGAAGCAGAAATATCCTGCTAAAAATTACTACTGGACGTTTTCTTTCCTTTCCAGTGGAAAAGCAGTGGCAGGACAGAGATAGGGTTGCTCCGGAGAAGTTACTAAACCACGAGATGGCACCAGGCAGCTGCCAGCGCCGGGGATGCTGCCCAGGGCTGCCTGCCAGGCAGGCGGAGGCAGGGGGCACTTGCAAGGAGGGCCATGCAAAATTGGGATGGCAGCTGCTGTAGCCAATTCTGCCAGGTTTACAAGACCTCCCAGAGCAGTAAGCGGTTGTGCCATGGCCCGTCGCACCCTGTGTTTCACGGGCAGCGCATTGGCACCCTGCAGAGGCGGGCAGGTGCCCGCTGTCCCGAGGGGCTGCTGTAGTGCAGAAGGGTCCGTGCTGAGGGGCACTGCCTTGCCCCAGGCCAGGGAGCACAATTTCTCCTGGTCATCGCTAAAACCTCATGCCTCTGACCCCCAGCCCCCAGGTTTTGAGCTCTCAGAGCCTCTTTCATCTCAGGATAAAAGGTGCCTTCACAGAAATACTGAAAGATTTAGGCTGCTTCCCCTCCTAAGGGCGGGATCCACTCAGCAGAGCAGTACCTGGGTTTAAAGAGAAACAGTTCCTGTCCCTTTGCCTCAGGGATGTAGAGGAGGAGCACGGGCTCACACACTTCAGCAATCTCTGCTAACAGCAGCTGAAAGGAGAAGCCCTTTATCTGTTCGCTTTTAACTCCACGAGCCACCTGCACTGCAGCTCAGCACCAAATCCCTTCCTGGGGCAGGATGGCGGGTGCTGCAAGCCAGAGCACTGACAACTCCCTGGCAAAAAGAGGTTTTCTGGTGAGGCAAAGGGAAGCGCCTGACCCTGGTCTGCTCTGTGGGGAGAGCAAAGAGGGGCTGGCATGGCTGGGTTGTGTTGCCTTGGCACTCAGACTTGCTTTTCTCCACTGCTGGACCTGATTCCTTGTGCTCCCTGAAGCGTTGTGAGGTTTGCCCTGTCTCTGCTCAGTTCTGGGCTTTCCCTCTTCCTCCTCATCCCCAGGGTAGCACCCCATTCGCTGAGCAAAGAACTATTAAAATGGAGAGAGGGGCAGTGCCTGGGCTGCAGCTGTAGGTCTGTTCATGGCACTACTCCACCCAGCTGTGCATGGCAACCACAGCTGGATGGCATGCCATAGCGTTCCCTAAATAAATGCTCTTCCTGGAGGGACTGAATAGGTGCCAGGTGCTTTCTGCCCTGGCATGGAGCTGTTCCGAGGGTGCTGAGGCACTGCAGACACCCAACACCCACATCCCTGCTAGTGACTCAGAGGAGAGGGGCTGCTCATCAGTGACCTGGCCCGAAAGCAAAGCTACTTCAGTGTCCCCTCAGTCTGTGCCCGGGTTGGAAGGGGGGCAGCTCGTCTGGGAGCACAGACACACTTGCGGGCTGTTCATACAGATGTGGCACTGACTTAACAGCTGGGGTGCTCCAAGGTCCTCTCTTCCATACCGTGCTTCAGGTTGTGCATCTATCTCATCAGCTTGCGATTGCTGACTGTTACAGTGGTTCCGGTAACTTAAAGCTCAGCTAGTGAGTAATGAAACCAAGATAACTGGGAGCCAGGTTCTGTCCGTATTTTCCCAGCTATCCCACTCAAAACCACTTTTGTTGATTGAAGTTTTGTTGTCTGGGCCAAGAAAAGGAAACCCTGCAAACTTTCCCAGCCTTCAAGCCTAGGAAGGATTATTTCTGATGTCTGACAGAAATAAGTAGTTGTACTCTGGTGCTTGGAGGTCCCTCCTTGCCCAGGAAGCCTGGCTCTGGAAGGGTCTCAGACATCTGCTGGCAGCAGGCACAGCAGGGTGGAGGCACAGGAGCCGCAGGTCCTTCCCCCTGCCCAAGGTAGCAGTCACAGAATCACAGAATCCTTTAGGCTGGAAAAGCCCTTTATGATCATCAAGTCCAACCGTTAACCCAGCACTGCCAAGTCCACCCCTAAACCATGTCCCTCAGCACCTTGTCCACATGTCTCCTAAATCCCTCCAGGGATGGTGACTCCACCACCTCCCTGGGCAGCCCCTTCCAGTGTCTGACAGCCCAGTGATTCATTCTGAAGCATCAGCATTTTCTGCTCTCTCTGACCTGCCCCTCTACCTGACCAGGTTCAGGACAAAGGGGGGAATCAGGGAAAGGGTTTCTGCCTGTTGTTGAAGGTGTTGGAGGTTCACTGGGAGTGGCAGCGGTGTGAAAACATGGAGGACCTGCCTTGGAAGGGTCAGACCCTGCAGCCAGAGCACTTAAAGCCCGGGGGTCCCAGCCATGTGCCCCAGGGACCAGCCCCTCAGTCTGGTGATTTGCTCACTAAAGTTTTAAGACAGTTTTATTCCAGGAAGGTCCCACTTAGAGCTTTTCCTCATACACATAGTCTGGAGCTCTTCTGCCTTGAAGTTCTGAAGCAGTGCCCATGGCCAGACCCTTGCTGGGCTGTCTGAAAACCTCACCAGGCTTTTGCCTCCAGCCTTTGCACTCTGGAGCCAGCAGTGCCAGAGGAGAAGCTGATCTTTGCTCTGGCTTGTGCATCAAATCTGATCTCTCTCCACTTAGGACAGTATCCTGGCCTAAGATATACTGAGAAACTCTGCTGCAGGGGAATATTAGGACATTAAGAGTCACATACTGATGTTTACCGATTAAATTAGCCTATTTCTTTTATGGAAATCAAATGGCAATTGTAGCAAGAATAGCACATGGGACACAAAGAGCCCCGAGGCCACCACGCAGTTCTTGGGCACTTGGCTCAGAGGATGTTCTCTGGGGCTTTCCTGCACAGAAGCCTCACCAGGCTCTGAGCAGCCTCCCAGCAGCCAGCCCCAGGCAGCAGTGCCAGGCGGTGCCCTGCAGATCCGAGCAGCTCTCGGCCCACAGTCTCAGGAGAGACAGGCTTTCCTGCAAGCTCAGTGCCATGTTTTCCGAAGGTGTCTCATGCCAAAGGATTAGTCTTGCAGGGACTAAGCCAAATTATTTTATTCTTTCATCTCCTCTGTCTCACTGCCCTGGAGCCTGGCTGGATTTCCAGGCTATGCTTAGAGACTCCAAAATAAATTAGACACCCACAAACCTGGAGGATACAGGTTGTTTAACTGTCTTATTTACTGACAATCTTCCTGGCACTGGTACACTACAGTCACTGTTCCTAGAAGTGATTTTACCTGCATATTTCAGCCAGACTCAGAGGACTGGGTGCTAGGAACCCAGACAACCAAGGGAGTCATAACAGATAGGCTGGTGGAGGCTCTCTGGAACGTGTATATGACGAATTACATAGGTCTCATTATACAAAAAAAAGCCTAAACCCAAACAACTTCACAGGAGAGTATGGCTCTTGAAAATTGAAAACCTCACACACTTCCATCAGTGAATCTGAGGGATTTCAATGCAGAAACATCCCTTCTGATGGGGAAGGCACTAGCACAAGTCCAAAACCATCTTCAAGGCAAAAGGACCCCGGACAAGCACAACCCTCCTCTGTGTGTGTCTGTGAGGCCCCGTCCCAAACTCCCCAGGACATGGGGAGCTGCAGACAGCAATGCCTGGGAGGAGAGCCCAGGCAGCAAGATGCTCCAAGTGTCCCAGCAAGGGGCCCAGACAGGGGTGCCCTGCACACTCTCAAGGAGCCGGTGATGTCCCCTGTGCCCCAGCAAGGTTACTCTGCTACTGGGATGCCCTGAAAGGGGTGTCCAGGCAGAGCTGTCCCATTGTCCAGGCAGAGCCCCCAGGTAGGGATGCCCTACACGCCAGCGAGAAGCCTGGGCAGGGGCACTGCCGTGCCTGAGCCTGGGTGCTGGTTTAGGTACATCAGTACCCCACAGGATGCCCAGGCTGGGTGCTCTAGTACCCTGGTGAGGATGTCTGCGTGAGGTTGTCCCAGCCCCCTGGCAGGGATGTCCCTGTGCCCCTGCGGAACGGCCGGGATGCCCAGGACATGCCCTGGCAGAGATGCCCAGTGTCGTGGTGTAACTCCAGCTAGCAAAATA